AAAAATTGACTCCAAGGATCAAAGGTTTAGAAAATTCTAAAACAATATACATACGGATAACTTTTGTCATCTTATTGAATGTTACTGGGAGGTTTATAAATCCTATACATTTATGGTTTGACGTCCCTGCTGTATCTACTTTAATATTCGTTTTATGAATTCTGAAATTATATTTCTGTGCTATTTCCGTTGAATTTAGAACCGATATTTCCGCTCCTGAGTCTAACAGTGCTTCTAGTTCTGAATCAATAATTTTGACTTTTATATGTGGACATTTGTTTGGCTTAACACTTAACTCGTAGATTTTCTGATTGGTAGGATTTCTTTCCTCATTTCCTTCAGTGGGGTTTGAAGGGTTTGTCGGAAAAGAATCACCCCTTAGTTCTCCTCCGAATTCCCGTTTTTTGGAGTTTGCTGAGGGAGCATATGGCTTTTTGGGCACGTAAAAAATGTGACTCCAGGTGTGCCACATGCGTGACAAAAAATCACCTTTGGCTGTTTACAGTCCCTCCAGCGGTGACCGTATTTCCTGCAGTTCCAACAGAGTGAGAGAGGCTGTGATAGAGTTTCTTTCTCCTGAAGTCCCGAGTTATTCGCTTGAGGTTCAATGGATTTTCGAAGTTGGCCTTCCTTTCTGTTGAAAGCGCATACTTCTTGTTCATCAGAAGACGATGATGAGGAGTTTGAAGTTGCCTCCACATTCCTAATGTGTTTTTTTTGTAGGGTGAGTCGATTTCGAATAAATCCTTCCACTATTTTTATCTAGCTGCTGGCAAAGCATGTTGAGATGTGCAATATTCTTGATTTTATAGAAAGACAGTTTGGTTTTGTACCATCTTTGCATATTGTTCCTAAGAACTTTCAATCGTTTTCGATCCGAATACTGTTTCGTCATTCGTTCGAACATCCCTTCTATTTCCAAACAGAATGCAACAAACGATTCTCCTTTCCTTTGCTTCCTTTCTTTAATGTCTTGTAAGATCTTACGATCCTTGTTGGGGTCACCAAAACGAATTTTCAATTGTTTAGAAAATTTATCCCACGTTTTGTACTTCTTTTTGTAGGTAAAGTACCAGCGACGAGCTTCACCCGCGAAAAGGATGTCCATCCCATGAGAATCTCCGGTGAACTGGATACCCCATTTATCTAGGCGGTAATGCTGGAAACGATCATCTCGTCTTCTGTAATCCTGGGATCTTTCCGTGAGAATACTGGAGTTGGAATTGGAGCTAGACTCTGAAGAGAGCAGACTGCTCAACGAATCCAGGGATGAACTTTCACCTTCTGATGACGATTGTTTCGGTAATTTCTTAAAATATTTTTCAATTGATTCATTAATCGTCTTTGTAATTAGGTCTTGATCAATAAATCTGCCGCAACAAAGAAAAAGAGGTCACTCACCTGCTTCGACCGTACTTAACCTTTCGATCATTACGACGTGGACTTGTTGGAGGAAATCTTCTCGGCGATACTGCTACGATGGTTGGCCGAACGGGTACTTTGACGACGGCACTCTGAGGTGGTCCAAATCCTATGCAGTCCAAAACAGCTACAGCAGCAACTGGTAATGAATTATCTCCAACAGCACAACACTCTTTCCGGGAGCGGCGTGGCAATCTTCCTCACAATAGTCGCACTAACAATGAAGAACCTCAGCGTGAGGAGAAACAATCACAAAACGGTAGCTTCTATTGTACTGGGCAGATACACGCAGTGAAAGCCCACGCGGGACGGTTCGAAGCCGGCGCCGGTGGTATAGTGGTAAGCGTGACTGCTTTCTAACACCCCAATGGGTCTGGGTTCAATCCCAGCCGAGGTCGGTGGGATTTTTCTGAGGCATAAAAATCTCTGGTCACGTCTTCCTTCGGAAGGGAAGTAAAGCCGTTGGTCCCGGCCCAGGTGTGTTGAATGGGTGCGATATCCTACGCAGGTGTGGAAGCTGCCTTCCTGCACATTCGATTGCCGTCAATGGATGGCAATCGATGTCCGTCGGTACTTGGCACTAGATTGCGGAATAGAGACCGACGTTAAGGTGATACGATACGTCACGCTTTTTTTGCTTTTTTTTTTCTCTCCTTTCTATGTGTCAGTGAATTGATTATCATTGATGCTGTAGTGGTGTGAGTGTATATCATGCACTACCGCAACTACAGTAAACATAGCTACAAGAGTTCGTTCTTATCAGGTCGAATGTGTAAATGTTAATTAAAATAATTAGAAAGGTAAATAATAAGTTATGTCCATATTTCTGTTAATTTCAACCTTCGTGATTTTTAAAGCGATGAAGATATCTCTTTATCATCTAATATTGAGACTATCACTACATTTCTATTCAATTTGCCAATATTACCACTTCCCAGGACACCCCTTCCTATAAAAAAAATAACTATGCGCCTAGTCACCAAGACCAACAGTCAAGTCATCATAGTAGTTAATTGATTCAACATCACACTTTGTACACTTTTGTTACATACGACCTGTCCAAAAGTGATTCCAGAGCTCAAACCTGCGGGTACACGGTAAGAAAAAAGATCCCAAAGTGACTCATTTTCACAAATCTCGGCACTATATTGCAGGAAGCCAAAAGTAAGTAATGTGGGTCGTCGAGTTTTTATTTACTTGTGTTCAATTAGTATGGAATTGACAATTCTCTTCTACCCAAACATAGTTAGTTGTACCCAAAAGTAGGTGTATATGATTATACTCAAAGTCAAAAGTAGGCAAAAATGAACTGGCCGTTGGATATTTTTTCTTATCGTGTATGTTTTTGTTTTAGAATCATCCTTTTGCCGCCTTTTGCATATCAGCTGATTGCTTCGAGCAGTGCACCCAGAACAACACATATGTTTTCTATAAAAGATTTCTAGATTTATTTACTTTCATTTTTTGTCTTGAGAAACAAAATAAGAAATTGTTTTAAACATTTATTAGTGATGGTTTCTAAATTGAACACATTTTAAGCACCTTAAAAAGCAATAAAAGCATTGTTTTTACACAATTTGATTCAATTAAATCGACAACACTTCGCAATGCGGTGTAGAAAAAAGGTAAACAAAACAGTTTCAGCTTGCAAAATTATTCGCGGCTCGCGTTTTTAACGATGCAAATGATATTATTTAAGTAAATATCGTCTTTAAAAGTGAATTAACTTGAAAGTGCTTGTAGAAGCACGTGTCGTAATTGTTTTTAGTGTGGTTCTGAGAAGTGAAAGCTAGTGAAAACAGTTATTGAAATTTGATGCCCTGAGCAGAACAAAATCGACTGATCGTACATTTTAATGCAAATATTACCAATGCGTGAAGGAATTGGCAATATTTTGGTGGAAAAGTATCAAAATATGTATCCAGATCTTATTCATACAATTCAGACCCATTTTTTAAGGTATGTAATTAGTAATTTACTGTTTTGTAGGAAGATGTATTTCGTACGCACACCAAAACACGTTTATTTAATGATTGTAGGGACGGCCATTGTTGGATGACGTGCCGTATCATCTTAAATAAAGGAAAGAAGAAGAAGAAGAAGAAGAAGGGACGGTTCGAATGGTTATAAATTTTCGCGATGAATTGATTGTTCCGTCGGAACGCAATCACTGTCCGGGATGTGATCCCGGCTTTCGGCACCAAATGTTCTTGCTTGAATGCCGGGATCTGGCCGGCACGACGACAAAGGCGAACTTGTGAACAACGGCAAAATTCAGGGGAAACATGTCAGAAGGGTATAACTCGAAACGTAAACAATGACTTTGAACGTCGATTTCTCTTGAATGACCACACACCCACGGAATTTGACTACACCAGCTCATAGAACAAACATTGCTCTGTCAGATGATTTAGTTAGTTTGAGTGGGTGTGTTGTCATTCGTTAGACCCTTCCGACATGTTTCCCCTGAATTGTGGTTTCAATCACTGGGCGGACTGGCGCGAACCGAGATAGTTTTCGGACGAGAGTGCAGAAACTGGTCTGTGTTGCTTTGTAGTTCTTAAGGCCCACGCACATTAGATCCGGATCGGACGCGTTGCGGCAAAGTGACAGCTAAATCTATTGTCTAACTGTCAAATTTACGTCAACGCAACGCAAACGGATCTAATGTGGGTGGCCCTTTAGGTAGCTGATTTATTTGTCGTGTTCAGTGTGAGGTGGAGGGTAATCCATTTGGGATGTATATGTAGAAGTGTAAAAGTGGTGTTCTGGGTGGTGGGTATTTTTAAGTAAATTTATAATGTATTTTGTGTGTATAATTTGCTCGTAATTTAGTGCTTTAATGTTAGTACTATAAGTTCTGGGCCGCAACAAGGGCTTACAAAGGTTTGTTTACAAAAAGCTTGTATGCCCTTTTCACATGTGGCTCTTGAAATGTCCGCATGCATGCGTTAGGATTTATGGGTGAAGCGCATTCTAAAATTAGCCAGAAACTACTACAACATCCGCACATTTAGGTAGGAAAGTAGAAAGAGGAAAGCAGATAATAAGGGTACCACAATAAAATATTCGTCGAATAAAAATCTCATTCCGTTAGTTTCCGTAATAAAAGTTTTTGAATTATAGGTACTTGTGTTGATTTGTGGATTAGAATTCCCCGTTAGATGAGAGAGGAATGTTTCATCTAACAGCTAGCGTTATTAATTTGGATGGATAGCTTTTATTTACGATAAATCATTACTACTGAAAAGTATGATGCGTGAAGGGGCTGACAAAATAGGATTACATATTAATCGGAAATCAGATTACAGATCTCGTATATCTTTAAGGTAGAGAATCTTACATTTTCCTGGGGGGACTTAATTCCCCCCTCCCCTCCTGCACACAGAAAGACAGAATATCCACGAGCAGATTCTGAAAATCACATTATTCTCCTCGCTACGTTTTTTTTTTTTGTTTTTCTCTAGACGGATACCGGCCACATGTTGAATAGCTCTCCGTTGCTCTGTATTTTTTCTCTCTTAAATGCAGTGATTGAAAAACAACTACTTGTAAGCGTACACCGCATGAACCAACCAGTTAGCAGCAAGAGTTTGTTACAGTAGGCCGAATCTGGCCAGAGCATCACATCGTGGAGTGTTATTAACTGGTTACATAAGTTAAGCAGTCTACTGTTTGATAAATCTTAACTCATCGGAAAGTAAACATGACAATCACGTTCCGAATCAATGGAAAGAAGTTTTTCTGTAAGCAGGTGAAAGGAGTGACTCAAAACAAAATATATAAACGCTATCATTTCAGTGACTCCATCCACCGTTCCCATCGATACTTCACTCAACACGTTCATTCGCAACCATGCCCATCTCCGTGGTACCAAATTCATGTGCCTGGAGGGAGGATGCGGAGCATGTATGGTGAATGTGTCAAGCTTTCATCCAGTGAGTGGTGACACCGTTTCGTATGCAGTGAATTCAGTAAAAGAGAGGAAGAGACTTGATAAAATTGGTTCAAATTGATTCGAGATATTTTTGATTTTGCAGTGTTTGTTTCCCGTGTTCGCATGTCATGGGCTGGATATCGTTACCGTTGAAGGAATCGGAGATGAGCAAATGGGCTATCATGCAACGCAGAAAGTTCTGGCGCACTTCAATGGTACGCAATGCGGATACTGCTCGCCGGGAATGGTCATGAACATGTACAGCCTGTTGGAGTCGAAAAAAGGTCAGGTATCGATGGCCGAGGTCGAGAATGCCTTCGGAGGCAACATTTGCCGATGCACCGGCTATAGACCAATTCTGGACGCCTTCAAGTCACTGGCATATGATGCGGAACCTAGGTTGAAACAGGTTTGCATGGACATTGAAGATCTGACCAAGATTTGTCCCAAAACCGGAGGTGCTTGCGCCGGGAAATGCTCTGCCGCTGGAAATGTTAACGAAAAGAAGGGCGTTCATATGAGTTTCGCTGAAGACAAGGAATGGCACAAGGTATACTACATTAGCGATGTGTTCGCCATTTTTGAAAAGATCGGAACGAAGCCTTACATGTTGGTTGCTGGCAACACTGCTCATGGTACGTAGAACGAAAATAACTTAAATTTGCTTATCATCAATCTTAACGATCATTCGCAGGAGTCTACCGTAGATGCGACAAACTACAGGTATTCATCGACGTCAGCTCCATCGAGGAACTTCGTTCGCACTCACTTGGAAGCAATTTGATCGTCGGAGCTAACGTATCGTTAACTGAATTGATGAGTATTCTGTCCATCGCTGCCAGCAAGAACCCTAACTTTGCGCATTGTACGGAACTTGTCAAGCACATCGACCTGATTGCCAACGTTCCCGTGCGGAATACCGGAACGATTGCCGGAAATCTAAGCATCAAGAACCAGCACAAGGAGTTTCCATCCGATTTATACCTGATTCTGGAGGCTGTTGGAGCAACATTGATAATCGGTATGTAAATGTACTTCAATTTACAAGTGTTAAACCTTAACCGATCCAGTTTATTACAGCAGAATCCATTGAAGAGACCAAAATTGTTACTCCTTCAAAGTTTATCAACATGGATATGAATAAAAAGTTGATTCTGAGCATCACCATACCTCCTTTCGATCCAAAGACCCACGTATTCCGTTCCTTCAAGATTATGCCGAGGGCCCAGAATGCTCATGCCTACGTCAATAGTGCCTTCCTGTTCAAGTTTAACATTAGTCAACCCACTTTGCAATTCGCAAAAATTTGCTTCGGGGGAATACACCCAAATGTAAGTATTTGAAGACCAAACCGAAGTTACGCTACTTAAAGCATTTTTTCACCCAGCTCACTCATGCTAAAGCAACGGAAACCTATCTGACTGGTAAAAATATCTTCCACAACGACACCATTCAAAACGCTCTGCGAATTCTGTCGGACGAACTCACCCCTGATTGGATTCTACCGGACGCATCCCCGGAGTTTCGCAAAAGCTTGGCACTTTCACTATTCTACAAATTCATCCTGAACATAGCTGCTGAAAAATGCATCACAATAAAACCAGAATTTGTATCGGGAGGCACAGTTTTAGATCGGCCAGTGTCTACCGGATCTCAACAGTTCGATACTATTCCTCAGAATTGGCCTTTGACCAAGAACATTCCAAAGATCGAAGGACTTGCACAGACTTCTGGAAAGTCCCAATTCATTAACGATATCCCTGCCATGCCAAACGAACTGTATGCTGCGCTTGTACTGGCAACTGAAGTCAATGCCAAAATATTGCAGATCGATACTAGTGAGGTTTTGAAGATCCCTGGAGTTCTAGCCTTTTACTCTGCTAAGGACATTCCCGGTAAAAACGAAGTAATGCCGTTTAAGAACATTTGTCCAGAAAAGGAAGAGATATTCTGCAGCGGTAAGGTCTTATACCATGGACATCCGGTTGGAGTTATTGTTGCCGAATCCTTTGAACTGGCCAATCGCGCTAGTAAACTAGTCAAGATAACCTATGAGTTATCTAATGACCCCGTTCTTTCTACCGTCAGCAAAATCATTGATCATAATCGAAATGACCGCATCATTGGAACTGATCATGGATTCATCGGTCAAAATTTCGAGCATTCTTCGCATGGTCCAATGAGAGTTTCGGGTCAAATCGACCTAGGTCTTCAGTACCATTACTATATGGAAACTCAAACTTGCATATGTATTCCTGTCGAATACGAAATGGACATTTACCCATCAACTCAGTGGGTCGATCTAGTCCAGATCGCTATATCCCAAATGCTCAACATCCCGGAAAATCGTCTAAACATCCACGTTCGTCGCTTGGGAGGATCGTACGGAGGCAAAGCCAGCCGATCGATATTCGTAGCATGTGCTTGTGCCCTAGCAGCACATCTAACGAAACGACCCGTTCGGTTAATTATGACTCTTGAATCAAATATGGCGGCCATAGGAAAACGCTACGGATGCCATTCCAAATACGAAGTAAGCTTCTCAAAGGAAGGCCGAATACAGAAGCTCTATAACAAATTCATTCACGATTCCGGGTCGTCGTACAACGAGACACCTTTCTACATAAACGATTACTACCACAATTGCTACGCTAATGAAGGCTTCAAAATAGAGCCATTGAACGCTCGTACGGATATAGCGAGCAACACTTGGCTTAGGGCACCGGCATCAGTCGAAGCAACTGCCATGATCGAAACAATCATGGAGCACGTGGCTCATGCAACAGGGTTGGATCCATTGGACGTCCGCATGTCAAACATAGCCGATGGCTCAAAGATGATAGAGTTGCTACCACAATTTCGCCAAGACGTTCAGTATGACGATCGAAAGGCAGAAGTGAATCGCTTCAATCAGCAAAACCGTTGGCGAAAGCGAGGAATTGCCATCGTTCCTATGCGATATAAAATGTGCTATTTGGGAGCACTGCACGCATTGGTTTCCATCTATCACGGTGACGGGACGGTTTCCATTGCTCACGGAGGAATCGAAATGGGCCAGGGGTTGAACACGAAAGCCGCCCAAGTGGCAGCTCACGTGCTAGGAATTCCGCTGGAGATGATCGTCATAAAACCAACCAATAATCTGATATCGCCAAATGCAGTTTGTACCCAGGCTAGTTACACCAGTGAAGCAGTCGGCTATGTAAGTATATACTAGTATGTGCGCAGGTTGATTAAATCTTTTAAATACCTACATATGATTATTACCATAGGCAATTAAAAAGGCATGTGAAATTCTGCTCACACGAATTCATCCCATCCGAGAGAAGAGCGAGGATGCTTCATGGAAGTTCATAATTGAGCAAGCTCATCGTGAGAATATAGATCTCAGCGCTACCTACATGTACAAAGAGTCAGAACTTCAACCGTACATAGTTTGGGGACTAAGTTGCGCTGAAGTTGAAATCGACGTTCTCACCGGAAACCTACAGATTACCAGAGTGGACATCTTGGAGGACACTGGAGAAAGCTTGAGCCCTGGAATAGATGTTGGTCAAATCGAGGGTGCCTTCGTCATGGGATTGGGATACTTTCTAACTGAAAAGATTATTTTCGATCCAACCAACGGCGAACTGCTAACCAACCGTTCATGGAACTACAAACCACCGGGAGCGAAGGACATTCCAATCGATTTTAGGATTCGCTTCCTACAGAACAGCCCGAATCCGGTGGGTGTCCTAAGATCGAAAATCACCGGAGAGCCAGCTTCCGTTATGAGCGTTGTGGTTCTGTTCGCAATCCGGCATGCGCTGATATCGGCAAGGACCGATGCCGATCCTGCTGGCGACAAATGGGTTTCATTGGGAGCACCCACAACGCCTGAATTGATACATTTATTGACTGGGAATTCTATTGAACAGTACAAACTCAGTTAAGACAATTGTTTTTAGATTTAAAAATAAAAACGCCCGAATTATTTCACATACATAATAAACACAGGATTTTTTCTGAAGCACTTTGATGTAGTCTAAGAAATGTTTAACAGCATTTAAATTAAAATCAACTGTCACATTTGTTTATAGAATACACACCTAGAAATATTAAAAAATATATATAGTCATAAAATCTGTTTATAACAATTAACTTGATGAGTGTGCTTCGATACATTTGAAAGTCATAAATTGTATCTAGGGGCTGTTAATTAACCACGTAGATACTTTTGGGGTTGAGGTGGAATGCCGTGGGTTGCCGAGTGTCTATGGTCCATTAAAATATCTAAAAAATTAAGGGACAGGAGGGGGTGTAAAACCTCTCAAAAACGGTCTACGGACCCCCTATTGAAAAAAAAATACTGAATAAAGGTAGGATCAGGTCAATATTAAAAGTGTTAGTAAAATATCAAATATATAGATTGATTTGTGTGTTCTTGTCAAATCTACACACTCATACAAACACCTGTATCCTGAAGTGTAGCCTGGGCTACATTGTCCTACAGACAATAACAAATTGAGGGGGTACAACGCGAAAACTGGCGCGTTAACCATAGCACGGCGAGATAGGAAATGCTTCGTCAACTCACAGGAGTGCCAACCAGCACATATGGATCAAAGCCAGTAAGATCCTGATTACGGTATACTGGACATGGCATGAAATAATAGACACAACACGGCACAATGGATTGTATACCACGCTACAGGCCTGACAGTTGCTATTCTGCTCCCTGAGTAAAGAAGGGTGACACCTTCTTGAAATGGCGAGTGGGCTAATGATGCGGCTGCCCCATCCCGGTAAAACCTTGGCAGGCGTCCGGATACGTTCAAAACTCTTCACCAATTGGTGGTTGGTGAGTAGTAGCACTAACGAAGTGACAGACGGAGCGGCTCGAAAACTTTGGTGACTAACCTACTATTTCAATTTTTCAGTGTACCACATGGCAACACCACTACTACTGGCTTGTACCACATGGTAACACTACTACTGGATTGAACTAGCATTTTCACCAAACGTACTAGAATTCTTTGGTTCTATCTCTTTCACTCTACTAAAAACTGAAATGCATAAAAAAATGACAAAATGATACACTCTTTGCACACTGTCAAAGAATCATTGTACACAAAATAAACTTTGTTCAAATCAAAACAAAAAAACTAACCCATCTAGTGGATGATGGCACAAGCTTCCAAGAAAGTTCTATTACAGTGAACCACATTATTTTAATGGATTTCTTCGCCAGTTAGTCGTCTGTCACTTCGTTTGTGGTAGCAGGCTCAGATGTAACATTCCTGACTTACGCCGATCTGGCTCTGAACACGGCCCCATGAAGGACCGTGTCAACCCTAGCATGGCTTGCAGAGATAACCATGGGATCACGATAGGTGACTACATACAACGAGTGCTTGAGCTTGAGCTTGAGCTTGATTGACCGCCCACGGTTGCTACTCTGTTACTGCCAGATCAGCTGTAATTACACAGAGAACCAATAGACGATGCTTGGGACTAGCAATCATCCTCAATGTGTAAAAACTGGTGATCTTAAATTAGGCAATACCAGCGCTGGCCGCGCCCGAACACAGGTCAAGAAAGGAATGGGAAGGATTGTGTTGACATGACACTCGCTTTGATGGAAGCCGAGAACACCTCTGCACTTCCACTCAATGATAAAAATAATGAAAAAGAAAAAAAATAAAAATAAATATGAAGGACGACAGCAAGACGCCAGACAGTGATCACCAGCAGCAGCACACCTCAAGAAGGACTGCAGCTTCGAAAGACCTACATAAATGAAGTAGGTCAGGAGGAGGATTAATGAACTCCATGACTTCGTCAAGCATAAAAGCAACGTCCACAAGGCAATAAAGGAAATGGTTTCAAATCCGCCATGATTGTTGCCGAACGTGAACAGGATGCGTTGAGGACGAGAGCCGAGACTGGCGAAAGGGCACTGATCGAGGACAAGGAGAAAGCAACAACTGAAGCACACACACTTAGATTTTTTTGCCGAGATGGGCACCACCGAGCAGCCCAGCATTTTTTTTAATTACTTTATTTGTACAGGCTCAATCGAATAAACTTTACAGAGCCAAGTTATCAGCTCGGCATTTTATTTTGCTGGAAATTCAGCAAAAAATATGTTTGTTAGCTGAGATCTCGGCAAAATTCCCGTTTGTTAGCTGAATCTCAGCAAGTTTTTCACTGAGATCCAGCAAAATTAAATGCCGAGCTGCTCGGTGGTGCCCATCTCGGCGAAAAAATCTAAGTGCGCAGGAGACGCCGAAAGGACCCCAAAATCCACGCTCGGAGAAGAGGAAAAGGAAAACGCCAGAAGAGGAAGAGGAGTTGTTAAAACTCAAGAATTACAAGGAAGGATGGCGTACCATAAAGAAGCCGAAGGAAAAGCGGGAAACCGGAACGAAAAATAAGTGAAGAGGAAAGAAGAAAAGAAGGAGGAGAAACCCAGGCCTTGTCGGGAGCGATGCCCTGATCGTCGAAGCAAAAAACAAAACGACGAAAGGATCCGGAGTTGCAGGCACTGGGAGATAACGTGGTGAAAGCCAGGCGCACCCAGAAAGGCAACATGCTCTTTGAGCTGAAGAAAGATCCTTAGATGAAGAACTCAGCCTTCATGGAGCTCGTCGAAATGTCTCTTGGCGAAGGGGCTAAAGCGAAGGGTAAGAGCTCTATCCTAGGAGACAGTGGTCGAGTGCAGGGATTTGGACGAGATCACTACAGAAGAGAGGCTGCGAAGTGCGTTGAAGGTGCACTGTGATCTGGGAGATGTCCCGATGTTATTCCGGACGAGGAAGTCGTACGGTGGCATGCATACAGCGGTGATACAGCTTTCGATAGTTGCAGCGAACATGCTATTGGAGACGGGCAAGGTAAAGGTTTGGTGGACAGTGTGCTCGCTGAAAGTCACTCCTCTGGTTACCAAACAACTGGAGCGATGCTTAAAGTGCATGGGTTTCAGTCACTAGGCGAGAAACTGCAATAGCCCTGACAGATCTGATCTGTGCAGGGAATTCGGAGAGAAGCGTCACATTGCAAGAGGCTGCACGAAGCAACCGAGGTCATGCTCTGCAACAAAGAGAACAGAAAGATCATATGACGGGAGGCTTCAGTGGGCAGTGGAGTGGGGAAGCAGATGTTCCAATGCAAGAAAACACAGTCTGCTGGAAGCTCTGGCAAAGCTGGCAAGTACGGCTGTCCACCGAAGGCACCAGCAGCACTATTCGCAGAGATGGCCGGGAATCCATTATCGATGTCACTTTCTGCAGTCCGTCACTGGTGGCAAACATGAATTTAAGAGTGTGCGAAGGGTATACGCATAGCGACCAGCAGGTGATCCGATATGGCATCGGCCAACGGAAAACAGTGGCAGTACAGAGGATGAGAACTTGCGACCGGAAGTGGAAGACGAATGCTTTCGACAAGGATCTTTTCGATGAAGCACTCCCTGTGGACAGGATCCCCGCGGATCTGAACTCGAACCAGCTGACAGAAACGTAAATGAGAACATGTGACACGACCTTGCCGAGGAAACTGGAGCCAAATAAAAGCTGTGTCAAAAGCTGTGCCAAAGCGTGCCAATCAAGTATCCCATGAGTTTGGCAACCCTGCATTTTTAGTGACTTTTGAGATTGATTTTTTGTGAATGTGTAAGAAAACGAAGCGTGATGAATTGATGTATCCAGCCTAAATTCACTGCTGCAGCACGGAAAATCCAACAGAATAAACAAACTGATAACACCAACAAAACACTGAATGTAGTCCTGGTAGAAGACGGTTCCAACGCTCAACTCCGTTGGATCTCAAGAATTCTGAAAACGCGCATCAACCACGAGTGGTTCTATTTTCGAGGCGTTGATAATTAGACAACAGACAAAGAGACGTAACTCTTTCTCCTCAATCGTCGTACACGCATTTAACGTTCAATTTAAGTATTATTAGTTTCACGAATACCCTGACATTGTATATAACGTTTATATACATTCTGTTAAACTTGTATGCAACGTGTGCAAGTTTTTTCCGCGAATAGCTTGCGAGATTTTTTTTTCCTTGATTTGTTTTCCGTCGATCTTGTTTTCCGTGCTGAGCATCAATGCTACCGATGCCAGGGAGGCAGCTCCCACACCTGGACCCAACCTATCGACCCACCAACTCTTGAATCGGGGACCAACGGCTTTACTTCCCTTAGGATTAAATCCCGAAGGTGATCAGAGATGTTATGCCTCAGAACATCCTGGCGGCGTATTGAACCCAGGCCTGCTGGGGTGACAGCACGACAGCGATAACAACTGCGAGGCAGCGTTGGAACTCCAAGCGGAGGACGGCTACCTCAAGATGAGTGGGGATTTTGCAAAAAATATTGGATCGGGTTAAGGTTGTTAAAATGTAAATCATTAGGTGAATAAAGCAACATTTTTTTAAGGAAGCCTATCCAATAAATTGTTTAGCGGTGCCGGTGGTGTAGTGGTAAGCGTGATTACCTCTCACCCCAGCAGGCCTGGGTTCAATCCCAGTCGGCGCCGCCGGGATGTTCTGAGGCATAACATCTCTGATCACGTCTTCCTTCGGAAGGGAAGTAAAGCCGTTGGTCCCCGGTTCATGAGTTGATGGGTCGATAGGTAGGGTCCAGGTGTGGGAGCTGCCTTCCTGGCGTCGGTAGCATTGGTGCTCAGCACGGAAAACAAGATCGACGGAAAACAAACCAAAGAAAAAAAAATAAATTGTTTAAGAATGCACAATAGAGTGTCATCAAATATAAAGGGTTATACGGTCAAAATTTGGTCAATATCAACTTGCGTATTTCTTTCAATTTTGCATTTAAAAAACCTGAACACCCCTCATTTTGAAGGTGTGTGTGTGTAGAATGTTGCTCCTATTTTGATTTTGGAATTCACTCTTCAGTTGTCAAAATGCCGTCCAAGCAAGAAGA